TTAATTTTTAATTTTTAATTTTCTTATTGTTCAAAATATATATATATATATATAAATTTTTTTATTTATTTAGTTTTTCCAGGATTTTTCTGTATGGCGGGAGTGAGTGAGTACAAAACTGTCCATACCATCCATTGTCCCACATGTTTTTGGCCACTTCCTTAGCCTTTTTTTTTTTTCTCTTAATGTTTTGGCTGTAGGAACATTTATTCTGAGCCTTTGCACTTAAGCACGGCTGGAACTCGAGTGAGTATCTTTCTACTTTTTAAAAAACTTTCAGCATGCCACTTTCATTGTTCAACAAGGTAAGGTTGATAGTGAAAAAAAGATTTAATAAACAGGGCCTCTCTTACTGGTTTTCAGTAATTTGATTTACATAGAATTTTAGTGTTTTCGACCAGAATTTTTCTTAGGGGTTCTTGTAGATTGCAGATAGTCAGAAGTTTTTTTTATTGCACTTTGCTCTGATAAGTGACTTGCAAGGCATCTACTCAAAGAGGTAGTCGTATGTTTGATATAGCTAATTGATTTATGATGAGAAAGAGTCTTGTACTGAGCAGTGAAATTGACACACTATATTGGTCATTGCTAGTTTAGATTTGATGGGGTTATTTTGATTAGTGACAAGATCTGCAGTTTTCCATTTTCTGTAACATAAGTTTTACATGTTTTTTTTTGGTTTTTTTTTTTAGGAATTACATTAGAACTATCAATCTCTCAAATGTTCAAACTGTTTGTCACCATCATTCATATACTTAACTTAGGTACCTCCATGAAATCGCTAAAAAAAGAGCATAGCTTGATGAAAAAGACGCCAAACTTGCCGAAAACTAAATTTTATTGTCTAAATGCTTATGTTATTATTAAGAGGAAAGACCAAGTTTTTTTTTTAATTATTTTTCAAAAAATTTTCCTTCTTTTTAGAACATTCTAAATTTTGATAAAAAAAACCTTGTTTCTATTTGTATCAGCGGAACTAGTAAATAATAGACAATTTTAGCATTTTTTTTTGGTATAACACACATTAATTTGAAAAATCGTGCAAAAAAATAGAAATAATTATCGGATGTTAATGAAACTTTCAGGAACTATTCACAGATGATCGAAATTATTATAAATATGTTTTTTTTTTTTATGAAAGTCATGGTAGAAATATTTTTTAAAAATATTTATTACCCCCCCATAACTAATTTTATGAAAACGCTGGAAATTGATCGCATCAGTTTTAGTGATTACAATACACAGGGCTTTGAGGAATGCAAATCATGTTTTTTTGTTTTTAATTGGATCGCAGTACCTGAAAATCAGCTCTGAATTGTAACATACAAAACCCAATAAAACAAATATATTATTTAATTTCAAATGCTTTTATTTGCTTTTAGTTGTTTTTTATGAATATGGACAATATTTTCTGAAAGCAAAAAAAATTTTTCGATGAAAAATGAATTTTTAATACAATTATTTGTTATTTCATTAATTATAATAGATTTTACATTTAAGTTGTTAAAATATTATAAAATTAGTTAAAAGCCGCATCGGCTTTCATAAGTGTCCTTATGAGATAGATCTTTTTTTAGTGCGTTGTAAATTGTATCATTTTGACTAATCAGAAGATACCCAGTAATTAAGAAATGTAATTTTGTGCTTATAATCGAGCTGTAATTATAAAATACGGAAGACCAACCAGAATATAATTAAGTTGTGTTATTTGAGTTAAGCATTGTTCTCCGCTGTTAAGGCCTTTACTTTTGTGAAACACGTGTGGAGAAGTTAATTTGATTTTTCAATTTCAACTGAGAAGGGTACCTACAAGTATCAGTATCATCTTATGAAATTTATATGATCTTATTTTTATATTAATCTCAGTTACGACATTTTTCCATAAATGAAATATCAAAATTAATAATAAAATGAATGCAAATACAAATAACAGTAGAATGTAATAAATGTACATAAAATTATAGTATTTTATGTACAATTCTGATAAAATTTCATAAGAAAAGTACCTATAAATTATTTAGATACCTTTCTTATGAAATTTAATGTCACTCTTAACAGTTTTATTTTAATTTCTTTACAATATATTTCCCATAAAGCATCATAAACGTAAAGGTGAAAGCTAAGTACAAAAAAAAAAAAAAAAAAAAATTAGACCGCTGAAAGTTTTCGTTAAAAATAACAGGGTAAATAATTTGTTCACGTAAATGTAAATTATTTTACTTTTTCTCCTTCCGTAGAACAAATTAGCCTCATGGAATTCGTAAATATATCATTCATCACATGTCAAGAGATGCGAAAGTTTATGACCTGCTTTGTTTTATTTTCAAATTACATCTTTTGGCACAAAAGCTAAGTTAAGTTTGGTTCAAAATATTTTAAATAAACATTATAATTTCTGATTTTCTTAAAATAAGTTTTGAAAAAATGATAATTGATATTTAAAAAATTTCAAAGTCAGATTTCCAGTTTTTTTAAAATGGAAAAAAATGGTCAATTTTGCTGACTCAAAAAAAACTAGATTTTTAACGAAAATTTCGGACGTGCTAGGAATGATTAAAAATGGAAAAAATACCCCAAAAAATACTTTGAACTTTCCTCTTAATAATAACAAACATTTAGACGATAAAATTTTATTTTCGTCAAGTTTGGTGTCTTTTTCATCATGCTATGCTCTTTTTTTAGCGATCTCGTGGAGGTACCTAACTTAACTGAAAAACTTGTTTATTAAAAGTTATGATAAACATATTATATTAAAAATTACGAAAATAAAAAATATTAAAAATGATTTTAATGAATCCTAGAACCACAATTATAATGATATAATACTTACTGTATACCTATTTTTATATATATATATATATATATATATATATATATATATATATATATATATATATATATAGTGGCTACTTTAGATTGAAATGTAAACAGCAAGCAAACTAAAATACTTCCAATTTTCTTTTTCTGAAGAAGCATGGAGTTATAAGTTGAAAGAATTTTGAGGGAAGAAGTTTTCCAACTCAATATTTTCTTAATATTCTTCTGAACAACCTGTATGTTAACCAAAGTTACAATATCTTGTCTCCTTTCCCATCCATGCATACATCAAAAGATGCACAGGTTTCTAGACTCCAGCAAAACTTTAGAAAATCAAATCAAAGTAATATTTTCTGTGTAATTAAGTGTAGATCTGTAATCAATGTAATATTAAGTCTTGGGGGTTTATTTTATGGAGAATAAAAATATTTTCATTAACAATTACCTGCTTCATGTTGCGACTAAATTTTTAATGTTAGTTTATCATTTTTTTAATAAATTCTTCCTTGTATAAATGTAAAACAACACATTCATGTTGTTAGCTAATGGTTCTTAAAGTTTTTTTAAAACCAAAAATAGACAGAAAAAATATATTCAGTTCTAAAAATCAATTTTGCTTTAATAAATATTAAAACAAAATTGATTCTTACGTTTAGAACAATGTTTTGCGTTTACAGATCAATAATACAAAGATCTAAGTCTTTCAACATTCATTTTTTCATTAATCAGCTTAAGTGTTTAAGCTTTGTGTGTGTGTGTGTGTACACTGTTTCTCCATTTATTACAAGCCTACAACTATTCACGAGAAATCAGATTTTTTAAAATTGTTTTATCTTAAGAAATTAGTTGCTTTTAGAATAAATGTACTAGAAAAAAAAAAAGTATTGTATTGTTCCCCCAATAACAAACTAAATGTTTTATTGTCTCTATGATGATGTTATTTTCGAGCCCTGCTCTCTTCTAAGAGCAACTGTTGTGCATTTAAACTGGTTAAGTTTGTTCCAGGTTGAAGCAAAGAGTAAATATAAAGGCATGTAATTTTTTTTTTTTTTTTTTTTTTTTTAATATTGATCCACAATAATCAGTATCTTTATAGTAAGAGAAATCATCAAAGTTATTTTGGAGAAATTAGTATTTGTCATAGTTTATATTTTACAACAATATTATTGTTATCAAAAACATAGAAGTTCACAATACTTATCAAAAATCAATTTAAAGTTTAGCAATGCCCATCAGGGTCCAGATAAAAGTATTTTTGTCTGGACCCTGACAAATGAAACATCACAAAACTTTAAGTAGATCTTTGATAATTATTATTCTAGATATCTATTGAGCACTTTGACAAATTTCTGCTCACTCTGACATAATTGTACATATTCCAATAGGTGTTATTATTATTTGGACTATTATTAGAAAGATATTTGTATTAAAGAGGAAAACTTTAAATCAAGAGATTAGAAACATGTTAAGACAGGCTTCCTGAGTCTTGCTGGAGGCTTATTCTTTATTTCTAATCTGCACTGCTAAATAATCAACATACAATGATGGTCTGAGAGTTGTTGAGATAAAAAGCAACTGAAATAAAGATGAAAGCAATATTGGTGACAAAACTAATAATCTGTAAATGTCAAGTTCAAAAGATTGCTGATTAGATCTCTTCCAGATTTAAACATTTAAAAACTAAACTAAATGAGAAAATTCATGTCCTTATTTTTGCTTACTTATTTTTGGACATTGAACTTTCAACTTTGATATTAAAAAAGCAACAAGTGTTCTGAATTGATTATCTATCATTCAAACACTAACCAACTTCAAAGTAAATTCATTTAAATATAAACTTCCAATAAGCTCCAGTCAGAAATCATTTGATATGTCAAAAGGTTATTTGTCAGCTTTCTCACTCTTAAAATTTATATCAATCTATATACTTCTCAACATAAAATACAAATTGTTGATTGCATCTAACAAAAGTAATTACTATATAAACATAATCATGCTTCATTTTCAGATTGAAAACAATCCGGATTTGAACTGTCTATAGATTCAAATAAACCAATTTGTACACAAAGTTAATTTTAGAATCAAAACTCATCAACAATCTCAGTAATGAACTTATAAAATATCAGAACTAAAAAAAAAAAAAAAAAAAAAAAAAAAATCAAATTGAAGGATAAAATACTCACTTTACACATAAGACAAGATTGCCTTTCATTGTTTGACTTTCACGTACAAGAAACACACCACTATCTCTTTCATTTTTTAATATATCATTTGCCTCTTCTCTTGCCATAGGACCAAAGAACCAGCTGCAAAAAAAACAAAACAAAAAAAAAAACAGAAAAATATTTACTTCAAACTAGAAATGAAAATGACATGTATGAATTCCTCTTTTTTTTTTTTTTTTTTTTTACTAACAAATAATAAAAAAAAAGCTAAAACAAATTAAAAAAAAGAAGCTAAAACAAAAAAAAAAAAAAAAAAAAAAACTAAAACTAATAAATCAATAAAAAGTAAAAAAATTAAAAATTAAAAAATAAAAAATAAAAAGATGCTACTTTTTTGCCACTGGTACTGCAAGATACAGTAATATTTTTATAAAAGTTAAAAAAAAAAAAAAAAAAGTAAAGAAATAATACTTATTGGACTTTGGCAAAAGAAGTAGGAAATACTGTGTAAATCACTCCTTGGAGTGGTTTGTCCCATACATCATTTATCATTTCTCAGTTGCATCTCTGTCTTTGGTCAGAGTGTGCTCAGTCACAACTGAGGGAAATCATACCCAGCCCTAGGGAACAGCTGCCCGAGGCTGTGCCCTCTCATTGCACCAGAGGCCAGTGCAACTGACAGTTGTGGGGGCTGTGGGCAATTTTTGTTCCTAGCGCAAGGGTACTCGCATGGGTCCCCCACCTTAAAAATTGACCTTGTGTCACAACTTGTTTTAGTGGGGAGACAGAGTAAATAAGGCCACACCCTCTCATTGCACTAGAGAGAGGGATCGGTGCTTGCAATGAGGCCAGTGCAACTGATGAGTAAGTAACAAAGAGCTGGGGCATTTTGATCTCAGAATTCATGGGAGAATTGAGCCTCAATTTTGCATTTATTCATATAGATTAGCTATTGTTTCTCTAACTCTTCAAATGTTGAATGTATAACTAATTCTATTTTCCCATCTATACACTATATTAATTTTATCTTATGAATGGTCCCATTCTGTCACCCATGAAATAAAAATAAGTGTTTGTACGGAAAATAAGGATCTACGTACAGCAAATCATCTTTAAATTAAATAGCAGAAGAATTATTTTTGAACTTTTAAAAGGTAAGCTTAAACATTAATTCAATACTTAAATGCAGTGATCAATTTTGAGTTCTTCTGTAGTTTGATACCTGTTGCATCTACTGCTCTTATTGTGATGATGGCCAAACCAAGAGTCCTCTATAGGATCTAGTTAAAATGCCAGCCAATAGGATCTAGCTTAAAAGCCACCCTATTTGCAGCTAGCTTAAAATTTTAAGCTAGCTGCAAATTTGGATACAAAAGGAAAAGAGTTACTACCCTTGAACCATGAAAGCAACGATAATGGCTAGTATAATATATATTTTTAACCTTTCATGATCTGGCAACCCTGAATATGAGCTCAACCTGTGCCTAACTTTTCTAGTTCTTTTGAAAGAGCTATGAATCATTGAAATTGGACCAGTGTGAGCAGAGGAGTTGCTTGGGCACACACACTCACACTGTACTTTATATATACGATTAAGATATCATCACAATTAGCAATTTAACATCATTCTACATTTATAAACTTATGCAATTCAAGTTGTTACAGATTCATTTAAATTCTTTGCAAATTCACATTAATATACAGAATACTAAGAGTTAAATAGCAGAGTAAACTGGAATTTCTTGTTGTGGTCACAACCAGCCTAAGAGAAGGAAAACTGAATTCTAAACTGTGGAGTAGGCAACAGGGAAGCTGCTCCATTATCTTTCCCAAGAATGCATGGCAATTCACAGATAAAGAAAAAGATCATCCATATCCTGAAGAGATGACATTTTAAAAAAAAGAGAATAAAATAAGAAAGAAACAATTTTATCCTTTTTTTTTTTTTACTATATATTTTAGTCTATATCATTTGAGTTTGAGGTTGTTAAGATCAGTACAGAAACAAATTCAGTGATAGTTGATTTTTTTCCCCCCTCTTTAACCAATAGGGTAGAGGACTTATCCCCTTCTTATGGTCCAGAGAAAAAAAATTGTCTGATGTTCCTCTGTTGATTTTATCCCAAAAATGTTGCATCAAGAACATTATGATACAAAATTGAATTTTCCTCTAATTAGCTTAGTAAAAAAGAAAGAACAAGACTATCAGATCATTTTTTTTTCTATAATAACTTTCACAACATATATTTATAGATAATGGGAGAATATCCTCAAGAGATCTTATTAAGTTTCATGAATATAACCCTGAACTAGATTTTTTCTTATGCAGTCATGATTTTGACTTTCTTTAACATTTGGTAAACTGGGCCAGGGTAATTTTCTTTCTTTTTTTCTTCATAAATCTATAGTGACTGACTGCAAATTTTCTGCCTTTTTATGAATTTGTTTTAAATTAAAAAAAGGTGTTTGGAGGCTGGAAATTTATAAAAATATAAAAATCACAATCTTGTTTCATTTTCTTTTCTTTATTATACATAAGAATGAAATTTTACTAGACATAATGAAATAAGTCTTCATTGTATAAAGTTTTACTAATTGTGGATATGTGATATACTTCCATAAAACATAAATGGATAACATTAGCAGTAGTTATCTATATCTAAGTAATAGAACAATTAATATTCTGTTTATTATGAAGTTTTATCATTTCTGTCAAATGTTGCAATTAGTAATCAATTTCTAAAAGCTTGGATAATTTTAACATTCTTCAGATGGCTGAATCCACAGACTACTCAATATCTTTCAAAACAATAAAAATTAATATCCTAGGTTGTAAGTAACCCTAGTTTATCATTTCTGACATGTGATTACAATGATTGCATTATTATCATAAATATCAGTGATCCTTTTGTCTAGTTTCCATTTCACTTTTTCCCTAGATTAAGGAGTAAACAGTATTAAATATACATTTCATAATCAGTCACAATTTTGATTTAAAAAAAAAAAAAAATTAAAATAATTCTGCAAACAACTGTTAAAGAGTAAATCTGCACATGTAATAAAGAGTAGAATTCAAAGATTTCCCTAACATTGTGCTGAAAACTTTTGCTTTTTTTTTTTTAACAGCATTTTAACTCCTTTAGTATTATTTAATGTCATGATTTGTTTAATAGGGGATATTTCACTTTTAGTTTGATGGTTCAGTTAAATTTTATATTTTTGTATAGATAGGGTCAGCTTGTACAAGAGTCAAAGTATTTCATGAGTTTTGTTTCATAAGTCACCTCTCATGACAAGTGGCTTTCTTTTGACATTCCAAAGTAATGAATTATGCAAGGTAGGGATGTTCAATTTTCTATTGACAAAACAAAATAAATATCTCAAATGTTGAAGACAAAAGCTGTATTTAAGCACAAGATTATCTATACACGAGTATGTGTAATATAATTCAGCGTAACTGGCAAGATATTTTGGCTAATTTGTTCAATGCTAATTGAGTATAAAGGATATCACATGTAAAATGATATTCCTCTTCCCTTGATATGGAAGACCTTACTTTTTACATTCTTTGCTTCACTTTCGACTTCAATTTTGTTTTTATTATTGATTAAAAGTAAGGGCACAGTTGGGAAAATGTGATAAGCTCAACTTCTCTTGGTGCAAAACTGACTTAAATATTATCTTATATATGCTAACACTACACAAGTAAAGCAAAGAATTTCTAAACATTTAACCTGTGAAATTGGGTTACTTTTGCTAGTAGCTTAATGATATGAATGTAAAATTATTCTTTGCAATATTCCTTGTTCTAAAATTTATAGAATTTTTTTTTTCACAAGCAGACAATCAAACAAGTTTCTATCAGTACTGTGTTTGAACAAGGCCAAATTTTGTTTTCAAGCTATTTAAAAATGTTTCTTTCAAAAGTAGGTAAGAGCTATTTTTACAGCTGCTTACATTGGATATTAAAGTTGGTCATGAAGAGGAAAAAAATCTCATACTTAAACTTGATCTATTTTTGCATCCCCTCTGCATGTGAGAAGAAAATAGATAAAAGCTTTCAAATGAGATTTTAATGCTCTCAGCACAGATTTTTGCATTAATATTGGAATCTTCAAACTTTGTAGCTATTATTGTCATTTCTTTAATAAATCATTAAGACAGAAAATGAGACCAAGTAGCACACACAATAGTTTGTAGAAGCAAATATAAAAAAAGATTAAAAGAAAATTGACAAGGCTTAAACTAAAAGTCACTATTTGTCTTGTTACTTTTACCATTCATATTCAACAAGTATTTCAAGATGCAAATCAAAACCATTAAATAGTATACGAACATTCCAGAAACTTCTGGAAAAGAGGCTCTCCCACCATTCTTTGATCAAAGCAAATGAGATGTTATTTCTTTACCTTGAAGACTTGCTTATTTTTGTAATGTATGATTATTTATCTTCAGTTAGCAGCGATTTAATTTAGTTAAGTGTCTAATATACAAGATTCAAGAGAATTAAGTTTTATCCAAATTCCCTCTGTTGTCAATCAACTTCATACTACAATAAGTGGTGAGGAAAAAAAAAAAAAAAGATATGAATTGAGGTTTGTGAATTCAATATAGGGTGGGCTGAAGATTAAAACAAAGAGTTAACCTATATAATCTATCACTACCCATCTTTCAGAGTATAGCCAAATTGTTGAATAGTGATATCATGTATTCCATTATTGATGCAAAACTGCTCAAATTTCGAAGAAAAAATTTAAGATGTCATTAATTTTAGCATACACAACTGTAAAATAGATGCTTTCAAACTAAGTTGATATAAGACTGATTGATCAGCAAAAAAAGCCTGTCTTATCTGGTCTCTGAGTTTTGTTGCTTTTTTTTTCATCCTCGGAGTGGTGCAAGTGGAATCATCAGCTATGTACCATGATTAATGGTCACCGCCGTTATATATATATATATATATATATATATTTATTATATATATATATATATATATATATATAACTTTATTTTTTTAAAATATGCTCTATTTTGTATTGAGCACTGTTTTTTTTTGTTTTTTTTTTTTTTAAATAAAAATAATGGCTAAAGAACTCTGGATTATAAATCTGATTGTTCTTTTCTATTATTTGAATATATAT